CTTCATGGGACCATACTGGAACTATCTCCTTTTCAACAAAAAAAGAATTTTTAAAATCGGTTAATAAACGACGGAGATATCGGCAAACAAACATAAAAAAAAAACATATATACGGTTGAATTGAGAACCTCCTCCTTATTTTGAAGCCGGTTAATAAATCATTTATTTCAGGCATAGCAACCCTTTATAAATGACAAAAAAGTGAAATAAGAATTATAGTAAAATAAAATGAAAATTATAATAAAATAAAAAAATGTGACCAGCCTACGGCCACTTCAGCTTATTGGGCTATGTCGATAACTTTGGTTCTCTGTCGGATCACTTCGTTTCGGATCCGCATTATAATACACATACCAAAATAATGTTAATTACAATGTTTGTCTGTCTGTTTGTACTCGCTAATCTCTGAAATGGCTGGACCGATTTTGCAAGACTTTTATTGGCAAGTAGCTGATGCACTAAGGAGTAACATAAGCTACATTTATTTTAGGAAATTCAAACTAAAACAATATATAATAATATATAACATTGTAACACTCACTTTTCACTATTTAAGATAAGAGTCCTATGTAATAGGGGGTGAGCCTATGGCCATATAACGGGCACAATTCCAGACTCCGTGCTACTACTGAGATTTTTTTTAAAACCCAGTAATACTTTGCCTGACCCGGGAATCGAACCCGAGACCCCTTGCCGCACTTGCGACCACTCGGCCAACGAGGCAGTTAATTTACAATTGCATTTAAAGTATGCAGTGAAATGGCATTTAAGTATATTAGTAAATAGCTCTCGCTCGTCAATATTTTAAAACTACATAAGCTTAAATTAGGTAGGTATTTCTAGAGCCTATGGCCATATAACGGGCACAATTCCAGACTCCGTGCTACTACTGAGATTTTTTTTAAAACCCAGTAATACTTTGCCTGACCCGGGCATCGAACCCGAGACTTCTTGCCCGGCAGTCGCACTGGCGACCACTCGGCCGACGAGGCAGCCAATCTAAATAATACTTAAGGAAAAATCAGTCCCATATGATGTAATTAATTTTGAGATTTGATAAAATAGTTGATTAACCTTATAGGTAACACTTAAAAGATTTAATTCGTAAGATAACATTAATCCTATTTTTGAGAAATCAATTAGGTAATCTAGAATTGATAAAATTTCTTGGGCTTATTTTCAAAATTAACAATTTTCCTCACGATTTCTTATGCGTCTTACTACATCGTAGTTTTTTGTTCTCGTCTTATTGGTTCTCTACACTTTTCAAATATTTTTTTGAAAACATTGCTATGCGTTAGGATTTTCTGCTGTATTTTATTTTATTTTATTTTTACATTTAGAAAACTATATTTGTTAAGTATTTAAAAAAAAAATATCGTGACTTGCCGACAGTAGTTATTAAATTAAAACCTTCAGCCACTCACATTTTTTCCACTCAATATGTCAGCTAGTAATACAAAGAAAGAAAAACAATAATAAAAAGCGGTTACCACTACATCTATGACTGGTATGGTGGACTTGCATTCGTAGAGGTACTTTTATTCTCCGGCCACCGGAAGGATGGGCCTGCGGACGGTGAGCATAGGTAGCTCGCCGCCCGATCAAAATCAGACCCGAGCGTACGGCACCGCAGCAATAGACAGACAGACAGACCAAAATTAAAAAGAAATGTTAATTTGGTATGTATGAAGTAAAATGTAGATAATTTTAAACGCAACGCCTCGATTGCTTCACGTCGATTTTCTGCTCGGCTGTGGTATCACTCCGGTCGACACGACACATTCGAGCTCATGGCTCTCCCACACTTAATCTTATTTAAAATTATTTACACTGTATTATCTAATCTATTGTTTACACCAACAGCCTATAAGTGCCCACTGCTGACCAAAGGTCCTCTCACACGACGAAGGTTTAAGCATTAATCGCCACGCTTGCTCAATGCGGGTTGGCGATGTCAAACTTATAATTAGAAATTATAAGCCCAGATTTCCTCACAATGTTTTCCTTCACCGTTTGTCAGTGGTGTCTAGATAATCTTAGAAACTACATATAACTCGGAAAAAGTCACATTGGTACTTGCCGTTGGTAGGGTTCGAGCCCGTGCGACGATCAAGGGACACGCGTCTCCCTACGGAAGGCTGGGGGCTCCGAAACAGGTCTCTTCAGAGGACCCGGTCTACCCCTACAGATGCTGAGGGTGGCCACCGGGGTGGTTTTAGTGTGGTACGAATCCCACACTCCTTAGATTTTCTTCCCAATAAGCTAGGCGCCTTTAGGATTCCACAGACTTCAAAAAAAAAATTTCGCGCCTCATGCATGGGAAGCGAGCTTCTTAACCTCCGGGCCACCACGACACAATCTATTGTCTTATCTAATACATATAGTATGACATGAACATGACATTCATGATATTATGCTTAATGAACGTATGCTACGTGGATGATCGATAAATAAATAGATAAAGAAATGGATGATAGATTGGTGATTAGTAATAGATATCTGATTATGTCAGACTATATTTGTTTCTATCCCTATTCTTCCCGCTGGTGTCACATACCAACACCGATAAATTAAACATTCCAAAAGGGTTGCGAAATATTGTGTGTAGGGCCCAAGAGGGCGCCCTTGGGGCTCTTGTCCCAACGTAGGTAGTCTAAGACGGCGCTGTACATATCCGACTGAGCCTTCGAAATCTACAAACAGCAAGTACCAATGTGATCTTTTCCGAGTTATATGTACTTTCAAAGACTATTTAGACACAATTGATAAACGGTGAAGGAAAACATCGTGAGGAAACCTTGGCTTATAATTTGTAATTATAAGTTTGAAATCGCCAACCCGCATTGAGCAAGCGTGGGGATTGATGCTCAAATCTTCTTCATGTAAGTAGAGGCTTTGCTCAGCAATGGACACTTATAGGCTGTTGATGATGATGATGGTGATATCTAATGATGGATGTATGGATGTTAGTAATGAGTATAGAAAGGAGTTTCCAAAATAAATGAAACCAGCGTGAAACAACAATAACATTTATTCATATTTTAAAATTAGATAAAAACGTGTCAAACAAAATACAACAAAACATCAAGTTCTATACAGTCAGTTTCAATAGGGGTTACCGTATTTTGGACATTAGATGGCGCTATTTATAGAAGGGATTTTTTGTTCAGTTAAGTGTATGGGGGAATTACGCAAATTGATTTCACCTAGTCCTGTCCATCATCGTACCACAAGACAATCGGCGAAGCGTCACCGATTCATGGTAGATGTCCCAAACGCTCGAAGCGCTTCGCATCAAGCTTCCTTGTGCGTACTGCTAAGGAGTGGAATTCTTTGCCAGAGTCTGTGTTTCTTGAGGGGTATAAACCTGGGTGTCTTCAAGGCCCGAATGAATAGGTTGCTTATGGGATAACGTGTTCCATCGTAGACGGCATCATCGCTTACTACTAGGCGAGGTAGTGGTCAAACGTCTTTTCTTCTCCTTTTATAATATCTTCTCATTCACTTCGTTTTGCGGGAACCAAGACAGTAATTCATGTCCCTGGGACGTTGGACTTCAGTGTTCCGGTGTTTTCATGGTTGTATCTATTGTAGATCCTTACAGGAGTTGCAGTGGTTTTGGGAAGTTGTGGCGGGCTTGTCCCTTAAGTGGTCAAACCATCCATCAAATATAAAAAATTACAGCAGCTGTCAAATATTGAACGACCAAAGCTTTGATACTAACTAATTCCCTATTGGACGAAGAACGAGAGAAGAACGTGTCATCAAGTGGGCAAAAATACGATAAGCCCCATTACGTACCTACATTAAACAATTGTTTTTATCTATAGACTATGCTTACTAGAGATAGAATTTTGACAAAGGTAGGTACGCCCGTTTTAGGCCGAACGAAAGTCGTGGTGGCCCGGAGGCTTAAGACGCCCGGAGGCTTCTCATTAGGGTGCGGGCTTGAAACCTACCAACAGCAAGTACCAATGTGACTTTTTCCGAGTTACATGTACTTTCTAAGATTATTTAGATACCACTGACAAACGGTGTACGAAATATAGTGAGGAAACATAACATAACATAACATAATATCACGCCTTTTTCTCCCCGAAGGGGTAGGCAGAGGTCCACATTACGGCACTTAATGTCACTGTACAATGTTACACCCACTTTTCACTATTTATGTTACGAGTCCCATGTAATAGGGAGTGAGCCTATTGCCATATACCCGGCAAATTTCCTGACTCCGACTACTGAGAATTTTAAAAACCCAGTAATACTTTGGCCGACCCGGAAATCGAACCCGAGACCCCTTGTCCGGCAGTCGTACTTGCGACCACTCGGCCAACGAGGCAGTCGCATTGAGCAAGCGTGGTGATTAATGTTCAAACCTTCTCCATGTTAGAAAAGGCTTTTGGTCAGCAGTGGCTACTTATAGGCTGTTGATGTTGATGAAGTTGATGGTTCTTCCAATGTATGTCTTACTAACTTCTGCCAGTGTCTCCGTCCACGTTCCCGTGTTATAAAACGTAGCCTATATGTTTCACACCTTAATCTACCCCTGTTCCTTTGATCACAATCCCTTCAGTCGTTTTGACATGATCGAGTAACAAATACGCACAGAAACTGACAAACGCCTTTATAATATTACTAGCTTTAACCCGCGGCTTTACTAGCGTCAGAAAACGATAAAAAGTAGCCTATGTGACATATACCAATATACACAGCGCCATCTATACCAATACTTTTGTTTTCCCTCGGGAATATCAATTTTTTCCGGAATAAAAAGTACCATATTATTTAATCTGGACTTGTAACTTTACGTCTGCAAAAATCAAAGCAATCGGTTTAGTAATTACGGCGTGAAAGCAGAACAAACAAACAAACAAACTCACTTTCTGATCTATAATATTACTAAGGATATAGTATGATATCAGAATGGTCTATCTCTTGATAAGCACATTTACAGATAGATTTGGTACTCAAACGGGTCACTATTCGATTCAATGTTATTCGCGGGAGAACGGCGGGCTTGCGTTTGTCCGTAAGAAGAAGATACCGGTTTGTCTGCAAGCATAAAAATATTATTTTATTTACATAACATCATGCCTATTATCCCCGAAGGGGTAGACAGAGGTGCACACAGAAGTAACATCCACTTTTCACTATTTATGTTATGAGGCTCACGTAATAGGGGGTGAGCCTATTGCCATATACCGGGCATGATTCCAGACTTCGTGCTACTACTGAGATTTTTTTTAAAACCCAGTAATTTTTGCCCTACCCGGGAATCGAACCCGAGACCCCTTGCCCGGCAGTCCCACTTGCGACCACTCGGCCAACGAGGCAGTTATTCATTATTTTATTTATTTATTTATTATTTATGTACACTTACAACAGAAAGGATAATACATATATAAAAACCAAGTACATAGGTCCCATATATTCCAACTAGAATTTTTTCCTGTGCTTATTCTATTATTTTATTTGCTATATGGATGACGACCAGATAATGTGTCAAATAGACTGCAAAATCATCATTTTTTAAAAAGAGTAACGATGGCGTTTCTCTCCTTCTTTTCCATTCGAAACTACACTTTGGAACGAGTGCCTAGTTTCACTGAAAGACTGACGGACGGACAATTCAATTTTGGACGTCTTAAAGGGGCACCTTTAAGACGTCCAAAATTGAATTGTCCATTAGGCATAATGTGGTATTAATTGAAATAAATGCTTTGACTTTGACTTTGAACATCTTTTTTATGAGAAACCAAAGAAAGAGGGAGTCGAATCGTTCTTAATTGAGTGATACTAGTATGAATGACAGATATATGTTCTATGGATGTTTAAGTCATTGATGAATGACGAAAGAAGAAAAAAGGAGAGAAAGAAAAACAGTTTATTTGCACTGTAACATGTAATGTACAATAACATTATAAATAAAAAAATTGATACTTAATGGATGATACATTGACGATAGATGGGTAATGGATGGCTGAATGATGGATGATGGAAGGATGATAGATGAATGGATGTTCGATAAATCATCATTATCATAATTATAAATGTTGTATAGATGTAGGAAAATTATAAATGGATGATAGACGGAAATCTAAACACAAATAAATTGAAGCAGCTCACCCAGGTTTGGAGTTAATCCCTCCCATTCTGAGCTTCCCCCCTAAGAAGCAGTGTCCGGACATGGCTGACCCGTAGGTGTAACACCGGTTACCCACGAAGCCACCGCTCTTGATTGACTCAGCCAGGTAGTGATATGATCTAAAGAAAAAAAAATATAATTAAAAATATAAGATAATCTTATTCAACCTTCAAAAAAATAAGGAGATTCTCATTTTGACCTGTAAGTATGTCCATAATATATATGTCAGTTTGTGCGCGATTATATCACAATTTGCTGAACATATTTTGATGTGGTTTTCAGAAAAGTGTTTGTATACTTAGGAGAAGGTTTTAGTATATTAATAAAAGAGGGGTTAAAGTCCGTCACGAGAGTAAAGTGTATTTTATAAATGGCGGTCAATGTCAAAGTCTAACTGAAAGGTCAAAGGTCAAAGTGAAAGTTTTTATTATTATTATGTAGTAAAGTCTACTGACCTATTATGATCACATTCTTGACTGTAGCACCCTGGCATGTCGATCCCGCTATTTGGGTAGAAATCAGAATCAGCTACAGGGCTCAGTTAGCCAAGGAGCCCCGCGTTAATATGTATCGTTACTATACGCATTCTATTTCTCGGTCGTTGTGAGTCACGAGTGTCATAATGAGGTTGTTACAGTGAGTGTCACTTGTAGTGTCTAAAGTCAAGGAGGGTGTCAAATACCGTGTCATAATTGTTATTATGAGTGTCAGATGGAATATCATTTGTGTCTAGAGTTAACACATAGCCAATTGGAGTGTCTTGAGGGGCTATGACAGTTTCAAAGTAATAAGTGAGGTGTCACGAATATAAAATGTATTTTACAAATAGCAGTCAATGCCAAAGTGTAACTCAAACGTCGAAGGTCAAAGGTCAAAGTGAAAGTTCTTATAATTATTATGTAGTAAAGTCTACTGACCTATTATGATCACATTCTTGACTGTAGCACCCTGGCATATCGATCCCTCCATTGGGATAGAAGTCAGAATCAGCCACAGGGCTCAGATAGCCAAGAAGCCCCGCGTTTGTGTGGATAGCTTCAGTATACATCCCATCTGTAGGTTTGAACCTGTCCTCGTTTGTCACCCAGCCTGGGAATGCAGGATCCAAAGCTGGAAATAAATATAATCTATATCTATACTAATATTATAAAGAGGAAAGATTGGTACCTATTTCTGTATGTTTATATGTTTGTAATGAATAGGACCAAAAAGTACTGGGCCAATTTAAAAAATTCACCAATAGAATGCTACATTCTTCCAATTTGACATAGGCTACATTTCATTTTGAAAAAAATTAGGGATCCTTGGTAAAATTTGAACAATGTAACCGAAGGTGTAGAGAAATGAGTCTCAAAATGTCTTTCGTCGAATGCGCAGCTGAAACTACATATTAGCGATAGAACAAAATAATGTACAACAATATTGAAGAACATCATAATGTCTACAAAAAACTCCACGGTAGCATATGTCCAACTATTGTAGTTATGTCACTACAACAATCAAAATTTCCAAAAATAAATAATTGTCTACCCCGTGCGAAGCCGGGACGGGCTGCTAGTATTTAATAAACAGAAGTGCACACTTCTTTTTACGATCCATGTCACGACCTAGTTCTCAATTTAAAATACGTTTAGTACGGTTGGCGGTCGTCGAAGGAATGGTTACCCTGAGAGACGCCTTGTTGCATGAAATAGTATCGCAGCAATTCGTGTCGTGATTGCGTTGCGAATTCGCATCGCATCGTATGTACGAGCCCTTATGATAAGTGATAATGTGGCCAATTGAGGAGTGTAATACAAAATTCTTACCAGTAATATACCCGACCCATCCACCCAGTATCCTGCCGACTATGCCCGCCTGATGGGCTCCCAAACCATGCCCAATTATATGATAATCTTCTAACCGAGATCCACCGACGTTGTTCAACCAGCCCAGAAACTTGGCTACGGCATTCGCTGAAAATGAAGTTCGTAAAAGTTACTAATCGGAATAATTGACTTTTTTATTTTAAGAGTCATTCATCATCCATTAATTATCATCCAACATCCATCAAAGTCAAAGCATTTATTTCAATTAAACCATAATTTTGTTTAAATAATAGTTTGTCTAATTTTGTATGATTTTCATGGCATGTGCTGTGCACATCTTTTGTTGTAGATCCTATGTAATTAAATAAATAGTCTGTCAGTCAGTCCGTCTGTGGAGCTAGGGGCTCATTATAAAATGTAGATTTGAATGGAGAAGAACGAGCATCAACCGTCATCCATCATTCATCATCCAACATCCAACATCCAACAAAACATCCATCATACAACATCCATCATCCATCATCCATTTTACTACTTACCAGATATAGGTGTATTTAGTACAGCTACCGGATAGTTGATCGTTCCCGACCCGGGACTCCAATCAACTGCTATAATGTTAGCATCCTCTGCTTGAAGTATTGCTGAAAATTAAAGTGGATGTTAGTATCGTTACTTTAGAAGTACCATAACATAACATCACGCTTTTTTATCACGAAGGGGTAGGCAGAGGTGCACATTACGACACTTAATGCCACAATATAATACCCACTTTTCACTATTTATGTTATGAGTCCCATGTAATAGGGGGTGAGCCTGTTGCCATATACCGGGCACAATTCCAGACTCCGTGCTACTACTGAGAACTTTTTAATTTTTTTTCGTATTACTGTATTTTGAGGCGGTGCAAATAAACAAATTTTCTTTCCTTCTAATACTTTGCCTGACCCGGGAATCGAACCCGAGACTCCTTGACTAGCAGCCGCACTTGCGACCACTCGGTTTATTGTAAGATTGTATCTACGTTCTGACAAATATTTTTTTCTTTCTATCTTTCATTTATTAATTTATTTATTTAGTCTTTAATGTACACAATTTTATTATGGCACATAAGACGAACTTAATGCCATTTGGCATTCTCTACCAGTTAACTTTAGAGTTTAAGTAGAAAATCTGCGAAAAATAAGGTACGGACAATAAACTAACAGCAAAGAGAGAGAAAAACAAATAAAATAATATTGTAACTATTAAATAATATAGCTATACATATATATTACATAATAGTAAATTTATATCTATACTAATATTATAAAGAGGAAAGATTTGTACCTATTTTTGTATGTTTGTAATGAATAGGCTCAAAAAGTACTGGGCCGATTTAAAAAATTCTTTCACCAATATAATGCTACATTCTTCCAATTTGACATAAGCTACATTACATTTTGAAACAAAATTAGGGATCCTTGGTAAAATTTGAACAATATAACCGAAGGTGTAGAAAAATGAGTCTTAAAATGTCTTTCGGTGAATGCGCTGCCGAAACTATTAGCGATAGAACCAAATAATGTAAAACAATATTGAAGAACATCATAATGTCTACAAAAAACTCCACGGTAGCATATGTCCAACTATTGTAGTTATGTCACTACAACAATCCAAATTTCCAATTATAATTAACTAGCGACCCGCCCCGGCTTCGCACGGGTGCAATATGCATGTATTATACATACAAACCTTCCTTACGAATCACTCTATCTATTAAAAAAACCGCATCAAAATCCGTTGCGTAGTTTTAAAGATCTAAGCATACATACGGACATACGGCGAAAGCGACTTTGTTTTATACTATGTATTGATTGTCTACCCCGTGCGAAGCCGGGACGGGCTGCTAGTACCTAGTATAAATAGTCATATGCATAAATTATATAGGTATCTTCCCAGTCGGGTGACAAGTGAAATAAGGATTTTAACTTACCTTGAACTAATAAGGTGACAAAATCAGAAGTGATAGTGTCTAGCCAACCATGTATGAGAACTACTGTTCGCTTGCTAGCGTTGTAGTGTGTGGTTTCCAGCCAAATCTCGTTGTTCGCCAGTATCGGTTGACTAAGGGTTGGGTTTTCTCTGTAAGAAATTTTTGTTTAGTAATGAGCTGAAGGATCACCTGATGGTAAGCAATCGGCGTCGTCTATGGACACCTGAAACGCTAGAGGCGTTATAAGTGCGTTACCGGTCTTTTGGGGATTACGAGTTTGAGGATTGTTGGGATTCAGGGATTGGTAAGATTGTGGAAAGAGGTGGGGGGGTGATTGGGTCTTCGGTAACCTCACTCACATGATGAAATATAACGCAAGCGTTGTTTTACGTTGGCCATCTGCTCGGCCGGCCCATTCGTGCCGAAGAATGACTCTCCCATATTGAAATTATATTGATAGAAGAGGTATGTAAGAATTGTGGCAATTGGTGTTTCAGTCTCTGCCTACCTCATTGGGAGACAGGCGTATGTTTATGTATCTATGAAAAAAAATTATATTGTCATTTAGTTTTTCTGTATCTGCTGTTGTCTGTATTATAACTTTCGTGAGACATACTAAATTAATTATTATGTTTTCGGCTTACGTACCTACGTAATTAATTGACGAGGAACTCAACTAATTTCAAGCCATTCTAGATGTTCATAATATCATTAATTCATTTATTTCAATGACTTTGACAACAACTTTTACATTGACTCTTTGTTCTTCTTTTTTCTTTTTAAATAACGTTGCCCCACACTAGGATTGTATACTGTGTCGTGGGTGCGTTTACAAACATACAAGTTCACATACACATCACATCCAGACCCGAAACAACAATTTATAGTCATACAAAGAGTTGCACTATGCGGAAATCGAACCCGCTGCACGTTATACGTAATTTGTATAATGCGTCAAGCGTGTCTTTGCATTGTTCTCACATATGCGTACAGTATTGGAATATGTATCAGAGAGATTATAAAGCATTGTTTTTTAAAAAGAGTTACGATTGGAGTTTCTTGCTCGTTCTTCTCCATTCGAATCTACATTTTAGAATGAGCACCTAGCTTCAAAGACAGACAAACTGACAGACTATTATTTATTTTGTATTTGTTGACGTTTCAAAAGTACCAAATTATAGTTTAATTGCAATAAATGCTTTGACTTCGTTGCATAGCAGCCAGTTGTCCAACCACTAGCCAGTTGCGTAGTCTTTGACTTTAATTTAATCTTTTAAAGTAGCAGTTTAAATCCCCGTACCTGGTAAAAAGATGGTAGGTATTCATCTCTTCAGGATTGTAAGTAGATGCTTCGTCCAAGTCGCTGGATCTGGTCCATAGGTCCATTAGAACATTATCATTGTTTTTAGTATGATGTATACGAATTCGATTAGTTTGCTTCATGTCTGCCCTCTTATATCTGCAGGATACTAGAATGAACAATAGTTACTTTAGTGAAATACTTTATTAAAAACTACGTTTAAAAACTCGACTAGGACCTCATTTTTTAATTTCGGTTAATGTATATTAAAATCTGCCCAGAACAGGCGGGTAAGCGATCAGCACCGCACCAGAGGAGTTACAGGCGTATTGCCGGCCTTTTAAAAAGTAATGCGTTATTTTCTTCAAGGTTTGAAGGTCGTATCGGTTCAGAAATATCGCCGACGATAGATCACTCTATAGTTTTGCTGTCCGGGGCAGAAAATTTCAAGACAGCGCACACGTGTGGCCTGCGACTCCTCTAGTGTTCCAGGTGTCCATGGGCGACGCCGATTGCTTACCATCAGGTGATTCGATTGCTTACAATAACAAAAACGTTATGTTATCGTAGCTCCACCTCTATGCAGGAGTAGAAACGGGGTGGTTTTTAGTCAGTAAGAGTCTCTGACACTCCCTCCCGCCTCTTCTCCCGCCTGTGATTTTCCATATTAAAAACAAGCTTCTTCATCTCCGAAAAAGTAGTTTAGCATTTAGAATAGTCACTATATTTTAACTTCAGATACATTGTAATTCGACTAATGTCTCATTTTTTTTATAAAAACGTTGCCCCACATTAATATTTTCTCCTGTGTCGTAAGTCCGTTTACAAAGATACAAGTTCATATACGCATGACACTCAGACCTGGAACAACAATCTGTGGATCACATAAAGAGTTGCTTCGTGTGGGGATCGAACCCGTTACACGTTGTTAGACAGCCAGTTGTCTATCTACCGCATCAACCGTGCATTTGATAATTAGAGTCTTCGTTCTCTTGTTCTTTTCGAACAAGAATCGAAGCTGTGTAAGGTTGTATAGCGGCTGGTTGCCCAGCCACTGCACAGTGTAAGTTTTTAGCTTACCTGTTCCGATTGTGAACCCAAGAAAATATAATAAAATGTTTTTAACCATTTTGTAAACTTTAATTTTCTAATTAAAACACAAATTAATATTATCTATTATAAAAATTAGTCAAATTGAACACTGTTTTTTTATTAATATTTCTTAGTAAAATCTTTCAAAATTATACACTACAAATTAGTCGTCTTCGAAAAAATTCTCCACAAAATATAATAAAAAAATAAAATTGGCATTTAGCAAAAACACAGACTTATAAAAATACTAAAAATTTTGACTTTAAAAACACACTCTTATGAATAAAAAAAATGAATATAAAAAAAAACACCGAGTTGACAGGACTAGCGACGCTGAATAAATAAAAAAAAATCCACCATAGACCACTCATATATTTGCTGTTTCTCAAAATGAATGTTTGTTATTTTATTTTAAGAACAAATCCACAGACAATGCTTGTTTGTTTTTCAGATCTCTAAACTGTTATAGAAATTTTCTTGCCTAAGTCAAAAGACAAAAGGCCATCGATTTTAAAAATAAATAAATATAGGCAATTGAGATGTTAAAAGGTGACGCGTTATGGTCAAATATAACATAAACATCACGCCTGTTGGTCTTCGAAAGGGTAGACATGAATGCACATTATGCTACTGTACAATGTAACACCCACTTTTCACTATTTATGTTATGAGTCCCATGTAATAGGGGGTGAGCCTATTACCATATACCGGGCACAATTCCAGACTCCGTGCTACTACTGAGATTTTTTTTAAAACCCACTGATACTTTGCTCAACTCGGGAATCGAACCCGAGATCCCATGTCCGGCAGTCGTACCTGCGACCACTCGGCCAACGAGGCAGTCACCGGCTACATAAGCATCCTATTCACTCGGACTTTATAGACATGGTAGACTTTGTTCAGGTAACAAGATTTGTATTATAGTCTGGCATTTTATACCAAACTAGCTACTAGCGAAATCCCGTTTTCTCCCGTTCCCATAAGATTTTCAGGTTTTTTTTCTATCATAAGAAACTTCACATGACAATAACAAACACAACAAAAAAAATCAGCCAAATCGGTCCAGCCGTTCTCAAGTTATGGCGTAACAACGCGAAATGTTTTTTTTTTTATAAAGATCTTACATGCTACGACTACCACTATACTACACACAATACTTTATGTTGTTACCTAATTATTATAGTCTTATTATCTTAGACTAACCCTACTGAATCAGCCCACCAGCACGATGAGCGAGCCGACCTGTTCCAGCAGAAGGCATCCGTTCACGGGTATGACGTGTAGGCCAGCAATCGGTCCGATTAACCATTTCGTAGGGAACGGAACGACCCAGCCCACAGCGCCACCGACTGTAGAACATTTACGAATGCATGACGTCCCCGTCTTTTAGGTTATAGTCCCGGATTCCCTGCTCACCCTCACCCAGCGTAGCGTGGGTGCGTTTACAAACATACAAGTTCACATACACATGACACCCAGACCCGGAACAACTATTTATGGATCACACAAAGAGTTGCTCCGCGTGGGAATCGAACCCGATACACGTTGCGCGGCAGCTTGCCCAGCCGCCGCATCAAATGTACAGTTAAAAGTTACATTAAAATAAAACAAAACATTGTGTGATTCAGACTGTAATATAATATTATGAGTATTTATTTATCCGACTGTGTCAGAAGAGAGGTTATGATGTTTGTCATTGTTTCATCCACGGGAGAAAGGAGGCGAGGACCTGGTTTCCAACCAGAATATTCCAGATTGTCTGTGAAAATAAAAAGAGATTATTATAATATCAGACAAATCAATCATATGACTGCACGGTTGGTGAGGTGGCTGGGCAACCGGCTGCCGTGCAACGTGTCGCGGGTTCGATTCTCGCACGGAACAACGCTTTGTGTGATCCACAAATTGTTGTTTCGGGGTCTGGGTGTCATGTGTATGTGATTTTGTATGTTTGTAAACGCACCCACGGTACAGGAGATAATCCTAGTGTGGGGCAACGTTTTTTTTACCCGACTGCCAAAGAAGGAGGGTAATGTTTTTCGAGTGTATGTAAGTATGTATGTATGTCTTTTCCTTTGTGACCACCTGTAGCCTAAACGGCTTGATGGATTTTGATGTATGAGGTATCGTTAGATTTGTCTTGATTACGGGAGTGTCATAGGATACATTTTATCCTAAAAGTCCCACGGGATAAAGACATAATAATATTTTTTCTAAATTTCCCTTTAAAAAAATATGTATGCGGTATCATTAGATTCATTTCAATCACGGGAGTAATTAATATAGGATACGTTTTTTCTCAAAATTCCCACGGGAACATGTTAATTCTGCGTCAACGCAAAGCAACTCATGCGTTAGCAAGCAAAAAGATAGGGCGTGGCCTGGCATGCGGCGCGCGGCGCGGTGCGGAGGGGGATATGCTCGAGTATACAGCCCGATTGCGGGCACACGCATGAGGGCACACGTCGTTGACGGTCGTCTCTAAATAGCGATTTTATTCGATATATCCCTATTTGTATATATCGAAATAAAAACAGCTAAAAAGTTATAAATAAAAAAATTATTATTAAAAAAACAAAATACCCGACTGCACACTAAAAAAAGAGTAAAACAAGCCCCACAATAATATTGATCAATCAAATGCTAAAAACTAATTATGTAATACCGTTTAAACAATACCTATATTAAAATACACTACAATATGTGTTCGTAATCGATAGTTAAATAAACAGAAACTTATTTTGAATACAAATTTACTGAATATAATTTATAAATGTTGATGGAAAGCATCGCAGGCGGGGACCACCTTGACCGCCACCAACGAAAATTCTGCTAAATGGTGCACAACCGAAATGACTATAAATAAGCCTCTGTTGGTCCCCGCCTGCGATGCATTCCATCAACATTTATAAATTATATTCAGTAAATTTGTATTCAAAATAAGTTTCTGTTTATTTAACTATCGATTACGAACACATATTGTAGTGTATTTTAATATAGGTATTGTTTAAACGGTATTACATAATTAGTTTTTAGCATTTGATTGATCAATATTATTGTGGGGCTTGTTTTACTCTTTTTTTAGTGTGCAGTCGGGTATTTTGTTTTTTTAATAATAATTTTTTTTAAAAAATAAATGAAAAAGTAAATTCACCTAACTGTGAAGTGTGTGGCAAGTTGGATAATGTTTATCATGTATACTGGTTATAACATAACATCACGCCTTTTATCGCCGAAGGGGTAGGCAGAGGTGCACATTATGCCACTGTACAATGTAACACCCACTTTTCACTATTTATGTTATGAGTCCCATCTAATACTTTGCCCGACGTGGGAATCGAACCCGAGACCCCTTGCCCGGCAGTCGCACTTGCGACCACTCTACCAACGAGGCAATGAAACAATTTATTTTAAACCTAGGAAACTAGCCAATTGTATTATTCTCGATTTTTTCTCTAACTTTAAAGTTCAATTCTAATTTAGACTCACCCAGTCTTAGGCACCAGCCCTCCCATCCTCAAATTGCCAAGCAAAAAGCAGTTTCCAGTCATAGCGGTGAGGTATGAGGCACATCGTCTTCCCGTGAACCCTCCGGAGGTCAGCGATTCGGCTAGGTAGAAATAGGATCTGAAACAAAGAAAAAGTTTAGGTACAAAGTGTATTATAATGGAATAATACCATGGCTTCATACAAAACCGACGTGAGAGAACGCTTGCGTTGAGTTTCGTCCTGTGAGTGAGGTTACCGGAGACCCAATTACCCCCCCCCCCTTCCCCAATCCCTGAATCCCCAACAAGTCTCAAATTCCTAACTACACTAACGCCATCTAGTGAGAAAAACTACAGATTACAAAAGATAATTTCACCAACAAGACGGCCTAATCCCAAAAGGCCGGTAACGCATTTGCATCGCTTCTAGTGTTCCAAGTATCCATGGGCGACGCCCATTGCTTACCATCAGGTGATCTGTCTGCTCGTTTACCAGCTTTTGCCATAAAAAAAGAAAACCTACTAATTTTAATATTGTGAAAAATTTCCCATACTTATTTGAG